ATTGCGTAAGTTATTTTAGCAGTTTTGAGAAAAACGTAAAAAACTTCCTAATGATATTGTTATGCCATTGAGAGTCAATAATTCCCATGGTTCATTTTTTTAGTAGTAGCTGGATTTAAATTAATTTGTATGACGCAGGTATGTGAGGTCATAATGACGCACTGTGACTTACGCAGAAATGTGCCTATGACTTGGGGACATACGCAATTTTGCAACTTCACTATATACACCAATCCTGAGAACCAAACATTTGAAAAACAAATGTAATTCCCAGTATCTACTATGTCTAATCCAAAAAATAGCTTATCTGTTTCAATAACATTATTTTTATGTTTAAAACATATATTTCATCGATATAACGCGCTCTGCTATTGTACCTAAAATAAGGTTTTCCATATATAAAAAATATAAAGAATTAAATAGCAATGCACCCTTGAATAAAAGCCAATCAATGTGAATTGGACTAACATAGTGAATATCACCATTGTACACTTTTCCACGCTGGAGTGTAAATTTCAAATTCAAAAGCGCTAAGCTAGAATCTAAGATGCGAAAACTCGAAAATACTTGGCAGATCTTATTTTGCTTTTGTGACGTAACAATAGCCCTGCGTTAACCAATGACAAATCATTATGACGAAACAATAGCAAGAATAAGCATGCCACACAAAATCTCCATTTTTATGGGGTACGGAATTCTTGGGATAAAATCTGAATTTACAGACAGGGGCGCAGCATTACATAAATAACTATTGCTCCTTGTGTAAATGCATTCAGTTTTTCACTTGTAAGATTACAGACATCAAACCCTACATTCACTGCTTCAATAGTTGAAGCAACTTGAGCGAATTCATGGAATGCTTTCGGCTCCATGATCTTGTCTGCTAGGTATATAGTATTGATCTGGAGAATAAATATGTAAATAATTATTTTATTGTAATCGGGAACCTGTTAGATTTTATTACTTTGAACACCACATATTTTATGCAAAAAAATAGTATCACTTAAATGGAACTTCCTGAATTATGCGCACCAAGATGGCGCCCAACCTGCCCACAGGTTGTGTACCAGGTTAGGCTTCAGGTTATGCGACATTTTGGTGCGCATATTTCAGGAGTACCCTTAAATGTGTATTTGTCGCGAACAATTATTTCCTGATATATACTAAACGGCTGCAAGATTCGAACAATGTAATGTAATAATTTAAAAATATATTTTTCTGCCGCATACGTCTTGCCATCCCAGCAGGCATAGCCGAACAAAATATTCATTAATATAAGAAACAGGGTTACCTCAAATAAACACAAATCCTATAATTCATTAATTATACGACTATTAAAAGGGGGAGATTCAGTTTGTTTGCATTTAAAATTCTGTTTGTGTATGTTGCGCTCAAACGATTCAGTAATCTAGAATTCTAGAGTACATGTTTCTAGAATGTGTTTTAAAACACTTTCCCGACGTTCGAGACATCCTTGCTTCCGTTACGCAAAATTGTCAATTACCATTATGCCTTACCATAAAGAACGATAGATGTTCATGGTTGAAATACTACAAAAACAATGAATTTCAACCAGTTCGGAGGGATACCGACCGATCAAATTATGATATAAATGAAAAATGTGATGTATCTGTAATATCGAAGATATTCCGAAAACTATCATTGCGTCCATTATATAATGTAATTTAAATTAAAACCAGTCTTTATGGAGCAATAAAATTTTTCTGTTTTTAATAATTCAGGCGGCACTCATTTATACATAAATCGCACAAAACTTCCCGAACTCAAGAAAAGAAACATAAGTGATTTTGTTCGTAACTTATTCCAAAATGTCGGCGCATATAATATTCAATGCATTGAAACAACAAACACCTTTGAGCAGGCCTGTCCAACCTTTTTATTGTCGCCGCGTTACTTTCACATGAGGAAATAATTCATTGCGGGTCGCGCAAACTTTTTAACAAACTTGAACACCAGCCAAGTTCTGATTTACATTAGAATTCATAAAATACATAAAAAGCAAGTTTAGGGTAAGCTTGGGAAAAATATCCGATTATCGTATCGAATATTAGAGTAGCAGTTTAATATTCTAATGTCTGGTAACACGTAACCTGGACACGACACGTCCATTGCTTGTTGCAGAATCAAAAGCTTGGATAGCACATAGTACTTGCGGATTCCTGACGAACACATGAGAATCTGCACACAATTTCGGCTAACAGACAAAGACGTCAAAATTGACTTTTTCATTTGCGCTTTGATGTTTTTTTATTTATTTATTTCCAGTGGCTATAATATTGTTTCAATTCCTAAATGAGCATAATGTGCGCCAAAGTCGCGTGAATTTCAACAACTTTTCAGTATGCCGTTCTGTAAATTTCGAAACATCAATACAAGTTCCTAATAAAGTAACATTTCTACGATTTCCGAACGAATATCTTACTTTGAATATGTTGAATTGCCATCAAGTCAATTTTATCGGAATTTTCAACCGATCCGCAGTGACGACATTTCATAAGTTTTATTCAACGCAAAATAACATAGATATGACAAAGAAGTACAACGAATCCCGAATCCAGTAGCATAGATATTGTTCATTTTTATCTTACCGTGGCGATAAGGACTATCAAAGCCGCAATATAATTGCTATAATGGTAGCAAAGATTTATCTCCAGCATGCTTAGGTTCAATTAGAGATGCCTTTATCCGTACAATGTATAGGATTGCTTAAATTCTTTACCAGAAATTTTGAATATTTTCAGAACATCACTATTAAAAATAAGTTTTCGTTTTAATGACAATACATCTGCTTGTGTAGTTTTGGACATTAGGGCGAGGTTCAGGATAAAAGACTAATAATAGTTGACGTTTATATTGTATTTTCGATTGTCAAATGTGATTAATTCAGCTCGGGTTATCATTTCGTCATTCACTTTATTCACTGTAGCGAGGTAGCAACAGGTTAATGTTACTCACGATATTACGTCGATATTCGTTCTTTATGATTAGCAAACCGATGAGACGGGTTGAAATATAAAATGAACTTCTTGTCCGGAACGTAACGCTCATGCGCTCAATATGTTTGATTCAAAGACGTCGTTTTCGACCACTCATGTATTGGGCGTGTATTCACAAAAATATTAAATTTCGCGTAATTTAAATATAATTCTTTATATTCGATTTAATTCAATTAACCATGTAAGTATTTCAACCGATAAAACATTATTCAAAGAAAAATATCATTCAATACTTTATTTAAAGCATTCTTCTCGATAATTATTATCATTTCAGTTGCCAATTTATCGTCGGAGAAGGAGGGCCAAGCCACCGTGATTAAACGGACTCCGTGGAAAAGACGCTCTCACATTCATACTATTTCTAGAATCAGTATTTCTAGAATCAGAATTATAAAGCATCCCCACAAACCGAAAGTGTCCGGTTTTTCCGTTAGTCCACTGTCGAATATTCACATCTCTGGCTTGTGTATGGGTCTTCATATTATGAAATGTAGGAGTCGCAAATAGTTGGTGCTTATCAAAACAATGGACCGGGGTTCAAAGGGTCATGCTCCACTGTGCACATTTTTTGCATTTAACATTGTCCGAAAAACAGTTTTTGAACTGTCCTGGACCTTATTAAACAAATACATTTGATGGTTCCGTTGTCTGGTTAAATACGATGAACAGTGTAGTGATTGACAAAAATGACAATCCTCAAATTAAACAAAGTTACCCATTTGAAATGGCACGCGTTATTTGTGAAGTTTTCGGTTATTCGCGAAAATTTCTATAAATTATGTGTTGGGAAACTCTAACCCCTGGCTACGACACGACCACGGCAAAGCTTTGAAGGACAACATATTGTATTTTCTGCAACAGATTTTGCATTTCCCATTGTCTGTACATATTTTCTTTCCACGAAATAGTAAGTATATTCATGAGCTTTCGTTAGATCATACTTAATTTTTCAGATAAAAAAGATATGGCTGCAAATGATAAGATCAATATTCATGTAGGTGAAAGCGGAGAAAAATTAAAAACGAGGCTTTCGGACCACATCAGGGATATCCAAAAACGAGAGAGCCCTAACACCAGTTGCCAACCATTTCAATAGCAAAAGTCACACCATGAAGATTTTAGTGTCCTGGGAATAGATGCACTTGTCAGCTGTGAGTTATGCATGAAAAACAAAAAACACTTATGGATCAACAAAATGAAAACTCGGCAACCACTAGGAATCACCGTAAAAGACTGGAAGTTAACGAAATTCACGATGTTCGAGTAAAAATATGATAAGAGCGGCTTGAGACAAAAAAATATTGACGCGTGCGTTACGCTGGTTGAAAAACAACAAAAATTATCGAAAGTTCCATAAATACAGAAATAAAACTAAAACTGGACGGACTTGTAGTCGGGAACCATATCAATAAGGGAACAGTGGTTCTCAATTCTCAACCGCGCCCCATTTTAAAAAAAAATAGCTAAAAATAAGTTGCAAATAACAGACAATAAGCGAAAGTATTTTTATTCAAAGAAACGTTGATAAGATATTTTTATGGAACGAAAATATCCGAAATAGAGAAATTTAAATATTCAAAATGAAGCGGGCGAGATTAAATCTGACTTCTATTTTTATTTTCTTAATTTGCGTCACGCCTACCTAAAAATTGTCTATTGTCCCATCATTGGAGAACGACTGAAATATTGTTTAGCATCCTAAACAGTGATTATGTTTTTTACTTTGACATTAAATTATTTTAATATTTAAAACGTGACGCGGCAGTACGTTATAAAATATATTCGCGTAAAGCTTTTAAAAGAAAGCGCAATTCAAACATGAATGATTTTTTCATTTCATTTTCATTTTTCATTTCTGAAAATACCTGAACTCAATAAAAAAAAAATATTTCAAAGACAATTTTACAATTATTACTTTCAACCCCCTTATTAGTTTTCTATTAGAGGCAAGTTTGAGCGAATTTATTATAGTTTTAATACATGTTATTGTTTTATAAAAGCAATTGACCAATTTGCAAAATGACTGACAAGATATTGACTCCTAAAAAGAACTTGTGAACTTGTTAGTAACTGGTGTGGGAGTATTTGCATCGGAATCTGAATTTTAAAATATAAATCATAAATTTTTGAATTATTCAATATTTTATAACATAAATTCTCGCAGTCGGTAATAATATGATCGGTAGAGTTTAAATAGGAAATAAATTTCAATTTTTATGTACATGCTGTAGTTTGAATCAGTTCATTTCCTAATTTTTCGACAATATAGAATGTTCATGTATATTTAGATTCAGAAGCTCCTTAAAATCTTAAGATATCTGAGCAAAGTTTTTTTGGTATAATTTATCTAATTCGCACATATAGTTTATGAGAAATATAAAGAACAGTAGGGCACACGCCACGCAACATTTTCTATTCTCCTATCATGACTCATACCTTTAATCCGCATTCTAATGCTCCTTGTGAAAACGAATCAAGCTTTTCATTTGTTAGATTACAGTGGTGAAAACATATTTTTTCAGAGTTAGTGACTGAAGCAACCTGGGCAAATTTGAAGAATACTTCGGGTTCCATTGATTTTTCTTCCATAATCGTCAATGTATGAAGCTGTAATACAATCGGATATTACATGTTAATATATGCATTTTTTTTTCTATATTTAAATAACTTCAATTACTAGTCTAGTTGGACAACAGACTGAAATACAGATATCAGGTAGTACGTATTAGGCATGCGAAGTTCGTATCTGTATCACTATAGATCCTTTTATATAAATAAAAATTTCACCATCTCTGATATGTCACTTGATGCCGCCATTTCTGGTATTATCACGTTTTAGGTAAACTGTTAAATGCATATTTCAAACCATATTATTTTTTAATGTATATGCCTGATTAATCGAAAAAAATGTGACTACATAAATTGAAATGAATATATATTAAAATAAAAGATTCTGAACGAGCAATCAAACTAAATCAATTGACCTTTCAAGTCATTACCCAAGATTTAAGAAAAATTTGTAGCAGTGCCTTGTAATTATTTTGTGTAGATGTATTATATTTGCAACAGAACTTACGAATTGAACATTGTAAATTAACGGCATCAAAATGTAAAAATGTTAATCGAAAATAAAACTTGAATTTTTGAAGTCAATCGAATATGGTTTATGGGGATAACAACAAAGTTTTCAATATTTTTATGGCGCAAATATATCATCGACAAAACAATCAATATTGAAAGGAATCAAAAATTTATTTATGTGAGATTTCTCAAGAAATACGTCCAATATGAAGTGGAAGTTTAAATTTAGTCAGAACATTTATTAAGTATATTTATTTAATTGATTAGTTTTTATAATATTGAAACACATTGTACATTGTACATTAAGTTATTAAACCTTCCATTTCCCATTCCTTAGAAAGTTCTTGTTCCAAAAATAATCACGGCATATTCCTCACTATTTTATAAAAAATGATTACTAATGTTATGGGTGAGCATACTGATACACGTACCTGCAATTTGTTTTCTGAAGCTCCTCTGGCAAAAGAATCTAATTTATCGAAGTTCAGATCGGAATCTTTAAAACCTAATAATTTAGGTTTTGTAGTTGATGCCAGTTTAGCCAAGTTGTAAAATTCTCTTATTTCGAGATTCTTGTCTTGAAGATAGAGATTTTCGAGCTGTGTAAAATGGTGCAGTGAGATTTTTTGGGAAATCAAAAACAAAATAGGTTTGGTAACAAACTGATCTGAATGATATCTATGGTTATGAATCTATTGGTGATAATTTAATACAAATATGTTATTTTCTAATATTCAGTTTGAAGAAATTATCAGACTTACCTTATACTCTCTGGATTCTAGCGCTTGATTGAAAAAATCAATTTTTCTTCGAGTCAGGTTACAATCCATTATTCCAAATCTGCTTGTACTTGAATTCACAACAGCTATTCCCAGTGTATGATACGCCTCCCCTTCTATGTTAATTTCACCTTCAATATCCAGGTAGTCAAGCTGGGAATTTTTTTTATCAAATTAGCAAAACATTTGAAAAGTGTAAGTTAGTCATACAAAATTGCAGACACAATTGTGATAAACTATTTTAATTTTTTTTTAAATCCTTTCACTTTTGTTACATGTGTTGCAGATTTGGTGTAAAGTTTTGCGGATTGCTGGAAACAGTGAAATAAACTTTGCAGTAGCCGGATTTACTTATTATTTGTCACCTTTGCTCCATGTTCTGCTGCACCTTGGGAAAACGAATCAATCTTTCTATCTGTTAAGTGACAATACTCAAAAGCCAAAGCTTTCGATTTTGCATTTGATAGGAGTTCAGCAATGTCATGATATCCTTCAGCATCCAACTTGTCTTCTTTTGTGAACCACAGTGATTGAACCTTTGTATAAAAATATTGAGTACTTGATCAATATATATTTAATAACAAGTTGCTTTGTTCGAGTTTATCCAAGAATGTTGATATACATAAATTTAATGTTAAATTCTTATTTAGGATGTTCATTTCACATATACGTCGGCTAGAAAATATGCTGAATGTTCATTACCATAAAAGATATTTTTTAACTCATTGGCATTAATCGACTTGAAAACTTTTAGTGATATTCAGGATAAGATAAACAGTCACTAAACACAGTATTCGGATATGTCCAATAATGAAGAAATAAGAAAAAATGCTTAATTGAGAAGTTTATGACAAACCTCGACTCTTCCAGTAAATGATTCCTTCAGTTTTTTAGCTTCTCCTTCGTTAGGTTTGATGAATTAAATCCGAGATATTCATATTTCGGCTGCTCAGCGAGGTTACGAAAAACATCTTCTGAATATTCTCTTCCTATCACGAGTTTGTTTAACGCTTCCTGGTTTAGAGCAAAAGCAATAATAATATTTTGGGGGGTCTCCGCGCGATATTCATATAATTATCAAATACCAGCCATTATCAATTTACAAGTTTTTTTTTTTCTTTTGTTTATTATTTACCTCCGTATTCGTGTCGCCATTGGTTAGGCAGGAAACATGTTTTGATTATTTTTTTAATTTTATATTTTTTTACAATAAATTAACTTGGGGTTAACATATGATAATATTAATCAAAATAATGTTGTAAACAAATTACCTTCTTTTTTAAATTTAACGACTTCAAAATCTGCAGGGCTATCATTTCATCACATTTTAGGTGTACTGCATTTTCTACGTCAAGGTCTTGCAGTAAATGCTCAATTTTATTGTAATCATTCAACCGAACACTTTTTCCAATTATCAACTGTTTTACCTAAAGTATTGATTTTTAATAATAGATAAATCTCAAATGCCAAAGTGCTATATGGCTATAATATAAGGTATTAGAAAAACCTTCAGTTATGAAGAAAAATATTGCGCCTATATCGAACCAAACGTAATATTTTAATATTGAGATAAAAATTTTAACATTTTGGATTAAATATTTTAAATATTCATTACCTCATTTTGCTCAATGGAAAATTATAAATCACCTGCCAGGCATAGTTAGCAGAAAATCATTGTTAGTGATATTCAGTTCGGTTAGAGTTTTCTTATTGTGAACAATTGCGCACAAAAGTTATGCTTACCCTCATCACATTAACTGACTTAGAAGAGTCGCACATTAGTTGCAATATATTTGAATTTAGCTCGATCGTGTTAACACTGATAAATTCTAATGGAAGACACATATTGGAAACGTGTGCCAGCGCATAATCTTCTCCCGGTCTTAAAGTCTTGAATTCGTCAGTATCTTGTGAAATCACGAATCGTTTGATTAAATGCTTGAATCTAAAGATAACATTATGCCCGCATTCATGCAGAAGAGTCACATGTTCAATGTCCGAGATTGTTCCACTGCTGTGAAACGACTGGAGTTGGAACTCAAGAGATTGTACGCATTGAAGTAAACTGATGTTTTTTCCTGAAAATAGCAGTTTCATTTCATTTATTTAAGAATTATTTTCTATGTTCTACCCTAAACTAGAGTTTTATATTTGAAAATAACTTTTTGAAAAAACTAAATTATCGCTATTAACAATGTCATAGAGCATGGGTGTCAAACTCGTGGGTTTTCGAGGGCCGCATTGCATTTTGGGAATTGCGCAAAGGGCTGCAAACAGTTTTGATATATTCTGATAATGTATACTTAAAGTATATTTTAATTAGGTGTAGTTTGTGACATATACTGTGATGCAATTAAACAGTCGAATAAAGTTTTGTTATTTTCTTAAATTTTAAATGCCATTTACATATAAATTTTTGCATTTCACTATTATTGCAATTCACTGTATTTATTAGGAAAAACCATAAATTTTTATGTATAACTATCCAAAACATTTCTGAACAAAGTTTTGATAGGAAAAGAATAATATATACACTAAATATGACTTAATCTAAATATATAGACCTAAAATTTACAATAATGCTACAGAATAAACAGAATTTTTTTTTATTACACATGTCCTGACGTTTGACATCTCTTTTGTGCCACCAGCTCACTAATATCAGGCTGAAATGATTTTACAGTACCAACTCTGATTAACGAGGTCACATGATCATCGGTAAATCACGATGTTTGATTAATTTCATTAATGCAAAAATATTACGTTCATCATTCCATGTATAGATCAATAAAGCAAACAAATTTTAGGACCAGACTTTTCCCGCCACTATCTTTACGTGGTATAGGACCGGTTGAGTTATGATTTATATTGATATTTAGTAACATAGAAACGATATAATCATAATAATATACAAACACATAAATACTTTCTGTTCGTAGTTGATATTTAAAATTGTCATATTAACTGCTGAGCTTATTCTGATAATGTCTACTCATATTGTATTCTTTCATTGTACTGATTGAAATGTGACAAATTAAACAATGCGCTTTAGGATTTTGAGAAATGCAGAAATATTGCAACTCCTCTTTCAATCAAAATTGCCATTTTTTTTCATGTACTTTGTGTTTCATTTAATTACTGTAGTATTCAAGTATTCTTTTGCTAATTTGAGGTGTACATATTTGTGTTAAATTGAAAACAAAAAAAAAATCAATTTTCAATATTATAATTGTCGTTTTCTGTGTGAATAATCAGTTTCAATTTAAGGGTTTGAAAATGTATTACATTTAAGTAAAATAAAATTAAAAAATGTATATTATATTTATTGTTAAGCGTTTGAGGGCCGCATTGGGAGTTTTCTGGAGCCGCAAGTTTGACACCCATGTCATAGAGCACTTGATATGCAATCAATGGAATAAAACTGTGTATATCTAAACAAATCGAAAATAAAACTTACCTTTCACATATTTATTTGCAAGTTTGCTTGTTATTGGGTTTAAGACAATTCCATATAGGAATTTACGCGTAGCTTGCCAATGAGGTTTGTTAAGTTCGACGGAGACAAATTTAACAAATTGCTTTTTTTTCATATTGAACAGTTCAAAAGCGGCTAATAATTCCTGCAAGTGAAAATGAAGTCTATAGTAATCATAAAAAAGTATTAATTAAGTTTAATACTGCTTAAAATATAAATACTAACGTTCCAAATTCTTTTTTTTGTAATAGGTTAAATTGATTGGTTAGGAATATGTGGTCACGATCAACATTTCAATACCAACAACATTAAACTATGTTCATCCTTAGCGAACATGATTTGACGTTATTTTTTCAGTGGAAAACAAATTTAATCCATGTAAATGCTCCAAATTATGAAGTCGAAAGTGCAATATTGAATATGAATTATTGTTAATGACAATCCCGTTCGCAAAATCATTTTAAATGAGTCGACCAATTTTAAGTCAATATTTAACATAATTTTGATACAGTTTGCACATAGCAAATCTCAATCTCAAATGTAATATTTTTCGTTGCAGAAGTGACTGACTTTTTGTCGGATAGAAAATGATTGATATCAGTTATTCAAAATTGTTAAAAACCACTAAGCAAAACCCATTCGAATTTCAAAGTACTTCATTTCTATTATTTTTTTTAAATTTTATCCCTATTTGCAATATATCAGTCACAAGTAGTAACCCAACATTGAACACTAACTATGAAGTAGTTTTTATTGGCATTTTACGTTTATTAAAACTTCTAAGGTCATTCGTATAATGCTATGACACTGTATTTGTGATTTGGCGCCGATTGTGTTCTAAGTGTAATTAACGCGCCGACTATAGCAATAATACAGCATTACATTATACTCGATGTATTGTTCTTATCAAATTCATATATGTCCATAAACACTTTACCTTAGTTTTCGAGTACACAACGAAGTTTATTGCGAAACTACAGAGTTTTTAATAATTTCATTGTTTAAACTCAGTTATAAGGTCTTACTGTAGCTTATACATAGCGGCACTATTAATTTTCGAACACACATGAATTAAAATAGAAATATACTGGTGATTAATCATAAATCATGCTTTTTCAAGACGAAGACCTACTTGCACAGTCTGATGTAAAAACTCAAAACTTAGATCGGCTTTCACAATGCGCGATTGATATTGTTCGGGCTCTGCTTTTGTTATTATAAGACCTCGTAGTTCCGATACATCAACTCCAAGATTCTCAGCATGGCTTGCTGAAAACGAGTAAGTATTTTCTTTAATGCCAGAAAATGCAAGCTTCATTAGTTTTTGCAAATCTGCATTGAAGTGTTCAGACCCGGAAAAGAATTTTAGAACGGTAACCATAGTTTCGGACTCTGTTTCTGGTATTTTTGTCTCAGTTTGCTTTAGCACTTTGGCCATGTAGATGAGAAACATTGGATTCTTACACAGAGAAATAATTTTGGGCTTTGCGTGATATCATTTTGCAATGCCTCTTCTTTGGCGTTAGATACAACCAAATTTGATAATATTTTTGGAATATCATTGTCGTCGAAACCTTCAAGCATTACGACTTTCAAAGGTTTTTGTTTTGGATCCAATTCCCAAAATGTGCTCCAACGGGAAGTTGATAAGATTTTCATGTCTGGATACAATGAGCCAGATAAAATGTTTGCTAAAATAGTATTTGTTTTCAAATTTATATTTGGATCATGGATTTTAGGATAGAGTCCTCCAAATAACTCGCCTGCTCGATCAAGTCCGTCTATAACTAAGAGAATTTTGTCCGTATTTTTCTCTACCCAATGTGCACCGGCTTTCTTAAGTTCGATTGGTAGGCCGATTTGTTGCGTGAATAATAGATCAAATGGGGTCGACATTGTTTCCTGTTGAAGATCGGAAACAGAGATATAAAATGTCATTAGAATATCTTTCAAAACGTTAGATCCTTTATCCAAGGCTATTTTAGAGTACTTTTTGGCGGAAATTGTTTTTCCGGAACCAGCGTCTCCCAATAGCATTACATGGTTAGAAGTGGTTCCTTTAAACTCATCGTGTAACTGATCAAGACTTATTTCAATTTTATCAATTCCAATTGCGTTAGATTGTCCAAGAGCTGTTCTTATCAAATTCATATATGTCCATAAACACTTTACCTTAGTTTTCGAGTACACAACGAAGTTTATTGCGAAACTACAGAGTTTTTAATAATTTCATTGTTTAAACTCAGTTATAAGGTCTTACTGTAGCTTATACATAGCGGCACTATTAATTTTCGAACACACATGAATTAAAATAGAAATATACTGGTGATTAATCATAAATCATGCTTTTTCAAGACGAAGACCTACTTGCACAGTCTGATGTAAAAACTCAAAACTTAGATCGGCTTTCACAATGCGCGATTGATATTGTTCGGGCTCTGCTTTTGTTATTATAAGACCTCGTAGTTCCGATACATCAACTCCAAGATTCTCAGCATGGCTTGCTGAAAACGAGTAAGTATTTTCTTTAATGCCAGAAAATGCAAGCTTCATTAGTTTTTGCAAATCTGCATTGAAGTGTTCAGACCCGGAAAAGAATTTTAGAACGGTAACCATAGTTTCGGACTCTGTTTCTGGTATTTTTGTCTCAGTTTGCTTTAGCACTTTGGCCATGTAGATGAGAAACATTGGATTCTTACACAGAGAAATAATTTTTGGGCTTTGCGTGATATCATTTTGCAATGCCTCTTCTTTGGCGTTAGATACAACCAAATTTGATAATATTTTTGGAATATCATTGTCGTCGAAACCTTCAAGCATTACGACTTTCAAAGGTTTTTGTTTTGGATCCAATTCCCAAAATGTGCTCCAACGGGAAGTTGATAAGATTTTCATGTCTGGATACAATGAGCCAGATAAAATGTTTGCTAAAATAGTATTTGTTTTCAAATTTATATTTGGATCATGGATTTTAGGATAGAGTCCTCCAAATAACTCGCCTGCTCGATCAAGTCCGTCTATAACTAAGAGAATTTTGTCCGTATTTTTCTCTACCCAATGTGCACCGGCTTTCTTAAGTTCGATTGGTAGGCCGATTTGTTGCGTGAATAATAGATCAAATGGGGTCGACATTGTTTCCTGTTGAAGATCGGAAACAGAGATATAAAATGTCATTAGAATATCTTTCAAAACGTTAGATCCTTTATCCAAGGCCATTTTAGAGTACTTTTTGGCGGAAATTGTTTTTCCGGAACCAGCGTCTCCCAATAGCATTACATGGTTAGAAGTGGTTCCTTTAAACTCATCGTGTAACTGATCAAGACTTATTTCAATTTTATCAATTCCAATTGCGTTAGATTGTCCAAGAGGTTTGCTGCTAGTTTGATTTTTGAAATTGGCTACCGTCAGCTTTGGCTGAACTTCCTCTTCTAATTCATTCAGATCTTCGAATACTGACCGAACGTCATACTCGATTGTTTTGCGAGTGATATCGTTGACTTTGTCGACAAATTTTTTTTCTGTAAACAATTGAACAACCAGTAAAAATTATGTTATATTAGATTAGGTCTCATATTGATACAAATTTAGTTCCAGTGAATTGATACAGTTTCGTATAAATTTTTTTTAGTTTATTTTTTTACTTGTTTCTCTTCTTTCTAATTTGTTTATTTTCTATACATATTTAAGGTTTTTATCAATTAAGATTTCAGCTTAAGTTCAATTTTTACAAGATGTTCACATTTACTTCATTGTTATGAACTTTTATTTAGTTCTAATTCAATATTCAGTTCTGATATTGCAACAATCCTCATTTCCTATTACCTTAGATGCCCAATATCAGATGCCCAACGCAAACAATAACTGAAGAGCAAATCAATTATGAAAGTGTATACTTACTTTTGAGACACCATTATGTAAGTTTGTGATTGGTTTCTTATACTGATATGCGTCATAATAAGTAATATATGTCAATCAATTTAGTCATTATCGTAATTAAATTTACCTGCTGAAGTCTCAAACGTGTGTCTTTCATTTGAGCCTTTTTCTCCTATCAGCAAAGGTTGCTGAGGTACCGATCGTTCACCTGCATTGTATAAGAATGCGAAATTGAATACTTGATAGCGACTATCGCAACAATATTTTTATTTAAAAAGTTATAAATTTACCAGCTGAAGTCTCAAACGTGTCTCCTTGATTCAAGCTTTCTTCTTCTGCCTGTAAAGGTTGCTGCAGTACGGATTGTTCACCTGCTTTGTATAAGAATGTGTAATTTAATAAAGCGAGATTGAGTCATTGATAGTGACTGTTGTAACAATATCATACGCGCTTTTTAATCCAAGCGTCTATCCCTTTATATATTCCGATCGTAGAACAATTTCTTATTAAAAGTCTAAATTTTTGATAGAGGAAATGTTATTATAAAATAATGCAAATGCGAATATCCACAATTTAACTAATGGCTAATTAGGTTTCCTTACAAACTGTATTTAAATACAATTAATATTTTCAGCGTTACACTTTGTATAAATCTACTGTATACCTTGGTATGTTGTCTGAGGCGTGACATTTTCGTATTGTTCAACTAAATCTCTGATTGTTGCTGCCGTGACGAGATTATCTAAAATAAACCATATTACTATGAAACAGTGTTACATGTGTAATATAAAAATAAGTGAAGATTAGGGAAAAAAGAAATTGCAAACAACAATCAATTGAGGAATTATACCTCAAGCAAGATTATGAAACTTCTGAGTATTCGAGGGCCGCATTGCATTTTGGGAATTGTGCCAAGACCGCAAACAGTTTTTGATAATGTATACTTCATGCATATTTTCAGATAGGTGTAGTTTGTGATATATATTATTATGTAATTAAACAACCGAATAAAGTTTTATTATTTTTTTTTCCAAATTTCAAATGCCATTTAAATATTAATTTCATGCATTTCACTATTATTAGAACTTACTGTATTTATTACGAAAAATCGTAAAACTTTATATACAGCCATCAAAAGCATTTTTGAACAAACTTTTGATAAGAACAGAATTTTACATTTCAAAAATGACTTAATCTTAATATAAAGACCTAAAATTCACAAAAAAAACAGAATAAACTTGATGTTTTTTATTACATTTGTTCTGACGTTTGGCTTCTCTTTTGGGCAACCAGATTATTAATATCAGGCTGAAATGGTTTTACAGTACCAACTCAACCAATCGTTGAGGGTATTTGATTCATTTTAGAAATGGAAACAGTTGTTCACATCTATATGTGTCGCCGCGAGTTTGACATCCCTGTCCCAAAGATACATAAAATAACATAGTAGGCAAAACCGACCAAATATTCCGTTTCTCACAAATAATAGTAATATATTATTATATATCGTGGATGCTTGCACAAAGCCTGGTTCAGCGCAAAAAGCGTGAAAACTCGTCGTATAAAAATAATTCAAGCACTCACCAGCATTTTGCTTCCACAGTCGAAGCATGCTAAGCTTTTTGTCAAAGGAAGATTTGGAATCTTGCTCAATCATAGCAACATCGCCGCTATTCAATGATAATCCATTGCTAGATCGTGCGAATTCTCTGAACTCGGATAGGTTGTGAATCGTTTCGATAATTTTGAGAAAGGCGTCTTCAATTCTTTCGTCTAAAAATCCGATATTTTTTCAGAGTCAGTATAATTTTTAGCATTAGAAGTTTTCTTGGCTGCATGTAATATTTTACATTTTGCTCATTTCATCTTTTCCGAGACAGTGTTATAAGCTTATTCAAGAAAATGTATTAAATAAATATGCACCTTGGATGTCCGAATGTGGATGTTTTTTTTTTTTATAGTTGTCGAGTATTCCCATGATAAGCGTCGTTGATGCGGAATTAACTAAATAAGTAAACAAATTCATTAGTTCCGCCAAACATGCTGCTAATGTAACACTGGTTAGAATCGGAACAACTGATTCGGTCGACATAAATACTGTAGATCCAAAAAAATAAAATATTTTTATTATTAAACGTAAAAAGCACAATGCTTCATTATAAACATTCTGTCACACCATCACATTGTTCGTAACAAGCATTAATTTTAATAATATTATATTGCTTCGACATTTGCTTTTACCATTCATTCACGTTAAATCAGTTATCCGTAGGAGAGAACTTCTTCTAATAAACAAAAAAACTCGAATTTACATCATTTGTTTGTTTAGACTCTGAACACTCAATCGAGTGCGTGATTTTAACGCATTTGAGCAACGTTCAGCTGATATAAAAGCAATAAATTTTAATATACGCCAACATCTTTACTTTCTGAAATTCCTACCAGCGTTTTCTTTCCACAACCAAAGCATGTTAAGCATTTGGTCAAGCGAGTATTTTGTATCGTCTTCAATTGAGGTAACATCACTCAAGCTTAAAGACAATCCATTTTTCGATAAGGCGAATCGTTTGAAATCAGCTATGTTTAGGAACCTTCTTGGTAATTCGAGGAAAACATCTTCAAATCTTGCACCTGAAATGTATCAATATGATAACTTAAATTCGTTGTCTTAATGAACTTTTGACGCAATGATTGGTTCTGAATTTTGCCCTGCTTGTGTGTTGTTTTGACCACTCTTGGTTTTGTACAACGTTTTATTGATATCAATAACGTTAATGAATCTATTATTAAAAAGATTTTCTTTCTGGCGATCACGTGATGTTATCTGGTATGCTATTAGAGGTTTTTCAGTATTGAATATTTTGTCCTGCCTCATTTACTGTCACAGTAGACAAATATACACATAGTTTGTAAAGGCTAGATTATGATGGATACTTAGTTTCAACTCTCCATCCACGAATTGTAATGAATGCAAATCGTTTTTCCTATACCTGGTTCAAAATCTTGAATGGCCTCTTTGCTTGACTCGAGCCCAATAAAATTGTTAACAACTTATCTTATTCTTCCCGCGGTTCCGTTTTTTCCTGCATTCATTTGAATGAAATGATCGCATATAGTTCACGAATATAATATGATAAAAATAATAAAATATATAATTTATGGGGTAAGATGACCAAGCAATAATTGTATGTGCACCAAGATGGCGCACAATCTGAACATCTGAACAATCTGAACATTTTTATACCAGGTTACAAATATCAGGTTGTGCGCCATCTTGGTGCACATACTACGGGAGCGTTAGATAGTTTTAGATTCCACTCGCATTGGGATAGGTTTATTGAATATATATAATACAAATGTTAATAAAGAGAATGAAATATCAAACTTTACAAGAAAAGATCTCATATATTTAAATAATGCTCATCTAACCATTTTTTTCTTTCCAGAGGGATAGAACAGCATATTTCTGATCATCAACTAATTCTGTGCTGTGATCCGTGATATCACAAACTTCTCGATAACTGAGGACGAGGCCATTTTTTGATTGAGCAAATATTTTGAATTGTTGCAGTGAAAACTTGTCTATTGTCTCGTAGAAAGCATCGTCAAGTTCGGTGATTGCAGCCGCTGAAAAAATATTTATTATTTAATGCAAATGATATATTTATATGTAAAATAATAATTATTAGAAATGTATTAATTTTTATGTATAATGAATTTAGTCTAATGTCGGGGACATTACATTTCCAATTTTAAAACAATTTAAATTCATAATCATTGCCAATTTTATTTAATTTTCTTGTATTATTTAAAATTTCCATTATATTGGTTGCCGAATTAACCGATTTAACATCTGTATTTTGTATTGTATTTGAACAACATTTTGTAACTTTTCTTTAATATCAATATTTAAGATAAGATAAAAAATTATTTTATCTTCGTACCGTTTGTTTTCTTGGTTAGACAGTTTTATTTAATCTTACAAAGAATTTTATAAAGAAGTATTCAATTCCAGCAAAATTGCTTTGAAATGGAATAACCAATTATTTGACTATTTTGGGTGACACTGCTCGATTACCAGTAGGCCATGTTGGTTTTTCGCGTCCTTCACACTGAAATACGGCTTGCTTATAATTTTTCACAATTTGTTTGTCTTGTTTTTATTGTCAGTACGGCGAAAAATAAACTTCGGGTTACTTAATGGACCTTTTTCAACGAAAGCGCTCCACATACGCCTAAACAGGTAAAATCACTAATAAACTGGTAATGGCATTTCGAAAGATTACTGGATGCCAGCAAAACAACTGTAAGTTGTGTCCGACCTTAACGCCATTCATCCAAGGCTTGCATAGGAGAATTGAGAATTTTGTGCAGAAAAGTTGCCATTTTTTCAACATTGATCTCCAATATAAGGCAGATGATATAACCTGATCCAATTTTTAAAGTATGAAGTGAACCTACCTTCTGGATCAACACTAGATGCTTCATTGACATTATTTTGATCCGACGATCTCGGCCCTGGATTCTTCTCAATTCCGTGAACAGCAAGCAATGCAAACACGAGTGTTAGAATCGCTAAAGACAGTCCCGTTGAATAATCCGAGAGTTGTAAAGTGGAAGTCGGTGCCCGATTCTCTTTAGTTCTACAACCGCCTCGAAATAGACCAATTCGAATGCGGTATGTAGACAAATCCACGTTCGCCATTGTTACTATGTTAAAACTCACGAAAAGCAAACTTTGATATGAATTTGTTTGTTCTCCCTTTTCTTTGCTTAGTACGTTTAAAATGAAGTAAAATAACCTAGATTTATATGGTAATGAAAAACGCACAAAGTTTACAAAATATTTCTATTATTTTTTTTTCATTTTATCCTTTTAATATTTGATTCAGATCTTTACTTTTACTTGAAGTCTTCCCGTTATGAGTCGATCTTCATATGAATGTTAGGGAAATTAGTGAGAAAACTTATAAATGTTAAATAGATAATATATTACAACACAGGAGGTCAGGCGACGTGGTAATAATATTGTGATTTGTCAAAAAAAAATAAAATTCTTAAAGACTTATAAACGATCATGCAACGGAATATAATTGATGTCAACGAGGCGTTTTTGCTTGGCGATGATGACTGGAGTCGAGGAATGTGATTTCATTGTTTGCTCGACGGCGTCGAGTGGGATTGGTAACGTGATATTCTAATACAGCCAAAATGATGCATATACAGCTACTTATATGCACGTAGCGCTATTTGCCTATGCATTTACAGTAAACTCAATATACATATACAACTATTTGGGTGATATAAAATGCAGCCAATGACATATGCATATACAGCCAATTCTAAAAACAATGCATTCATCCGTGTTATGTACGTACATGCCGGCATATATACTCAACTCGATATACACATACATTTATTCAAACGCCAATGCTTAATATGCATAAAAGTTCTAATAACACTAAATTTTGGTTGATTTTTACTGTTTTTATACCAAAAATATTTCAATGTATATGACTCGACGAAACTGTACTGCTAGCAATTGATGAGTCAGTCCATGTAAAGCAAGAAAATTCAAAATAGCGTATGAGCGTTTCCACACCCCGACTGGCTTAGTATTCATTGTCAAAATAATATTTGGCGTTCGAGATGTGTGTGTTCCAATATGGAGGTAACTAGTTTTTATCCGCCTACTTTACTTCAGGTTGTGTAAAAGTACTGAAACCTATGGAGTATATTCACATAGTTACCACAAACAGCCCTCGAACTCGTAATAGAACGAAAGTAATGAAAATTGAATAAAATTATGCCCTAACCCTAACCTGGTACACACACTACGGGTGTACCCAATATTTTACAAAATTCGCTCCCTGTAATAACTTGGGAATGTTAATCAATAAAACTATTTGTTTGCACGGTACTCCCGAAGTAATATTGCGGACACCGGAAAGTAGTATGTGTACCAAGTTAAGGTTAGGCCATAATTTTATTCCAATTTTACATATTTTAGTTCCCCGAGTTCGTGGATTAGCCAAGGGACTCCCGTCGTATTTCTACCTAAAAGTATGCCTAACCTAGTACACATATTACATATTTTATCACATATTTTCATTTTCAAATCATTCGGAACCCAAACTGGATAATTACTAATTTGTTCTTTTAAAACGTGGCGGGGATGTTTTTTCAAATCTTGCATTTTTGCATTAGTGGCGGGTGCTTTTTAAAAAGATTCTCCAATTTGAATCAAGTTTCTAATAAAAAGCTATGATCATCAAAGAACAGAGGGGGTCATTGGATTAGGACCCCTAAGTCCATAAACAGTGGTTCCCCACCTTTGTCATTAAATTCCCATTCTTCATTTATTTAGAAACTCTTTATTCCTCTCTCACTATGCACAACAACCATTTTTTTCATTCAATCTTCAAATCCTTAGCTAGTGTTATGCTCAAGTCTCACTCCCACTTATGTACAGTTCAAGTAGTTTATAATTTGTGCTTGAAATAAGTATTGTAGTAATGACAAAGAACCAAATAATATTAAAAATGCTACGGCAAATACAAAGCGAAATTTCGACCCAGGAACGACAATATCATTCCTGTTGAGGAATTCCTTCCCGGTTGAGAGACACTGCCTTAAACGCGTACCAGAGAGAATTATGACGTCATATTGATGTATTAATACGTCATTATAACGTCACATTTGTAGCGTCAAATCCATACAATTTCTCAATTCCACGAAGGCGTTGATAGTTCCATATCTTTCATATACGATACGGACCGTATACGCGGTCGAGAAATTACTGATACAAGGCCAGAACGTCAGAAGTGAGGGGTGTGCAATCTTCAATGCAGGAGGGCCTGATACAAAAAACTTGGGCCGCACTTTTATTTAACATAGACTTTCTAGTAGTTGCACTCTCAAAAATTTTGGTTATTGATTTTATGATATGCGTTGTTCACTTCGCACAAGCTTGCTGTTAGAGCATTGTGACGTCTTAGGCATAGATAATAAATTGGACTCAGGCATGGAACGGCAACGCAAATGGATTGGAATCACTCAAATGTACCAGATTGAAATAAATAAGATAAATTCGGTTCGCGGACCGCACACAATTCAAAATTGACACTTCTCCGCGGGCCACACAATTTTTTCTTGTAGGCCGAATTCGGCCCGCAGGCCGGTCGTAGGTTGCACACCCTTCGTTAAATATAAAATACGGGTTCATCCTATATAGCAGGGGGCCAAGAGGCCAAAGAAATTGCCCGCACAGAATGGTGGGCCATTTAAGTGTGACGTAACAGATTATATTTTATGAACATAATTTTATGTACAGTGTTATAAATGCAAAATTGGAAAACAATGAACCTCATGCCAATACTTAATTTAATCGCAGTCTCAACAACCTAAAATATAACCTAATTATTAAACTAAAATACAACTTACAGTCTTACACAGACAACAATCATAATCTTACAAGCCTATTGCACCATACAGATTTTAATAACAACAATCATGTAGCGCATGCAGTATTGGTGTAGAGCTCTGGTGTGTGGCTCTTTCCTGTCTTTTATTACTTGCCCCGAACAAAAGCGGTTTGACGCACAGATTTGGAAGATTAAAATTGTGTATTTGATGTGCGATCTTGTAGTGATTTACTTTCTAGACCAGCGTTTCCCAACCGAATTGGGGGGGATTTTTCAAATTACTTTGAGTCAGAAATCCAAGTTGAGTTTTCCGTGTGAGTTGTAATATACAACAGAAACCCAAAAGGATTAAAATTTAATTCTTTTCAAAAATATGAGTTCTTTATAATAATCTAGGCCAGGGGTTCTCAAACTTTCATTGTTACGGAGCCCGTGAAGTGGTTGGCTATTATTTAGAAAAGAAAGACATTGCTATCCACCGATTAATGTTCTTAAGTAAATTAAAATTACTTGAAACTTTAGATAATGCGATATCTGAGTTACCGCCGAGTTGCCACCGTTGTCAAAGTTTTTCAATGACGTTTTTTCCTTCCTTGGACAGTTACAAAATTAGCCAAGTCAATATGTCAATAAGCAAAGGATTGCTCGCGGAGCCCCTAGGTATCTCTCATGGAGACCTGGGGCTTTGTATGGAGCAGTTTGAGATTTTATGCACTAGGCTGCCAATGTCGGCGCAGTGCTGTGGGGCTAGAGCAGTGATTGGCAAGGTTTTTGAAACAGGGGCCAAGAATTTTGCCCGCCTAGATTTGCGGGCCAAGTAATTATGACATAAAAAGTTACATTATTATGACAATATCTACAGTGTTACAAAAGCAAAAGTGGAAAACAATGAGCCTCGTGCCAAAACTAAATTTTATCGCAATCTCAACAAATTCCTTGAGCTATTTCAGCTAAAACATCAAAATTTGTCCATGTCAGGGCTAGAGTTTACATGAGGGATTCGCGGCGGGCGTCGAACTTTCAAATTAGTATGGATCGGGAGTCGAAAGTGAATTTTGTAATTTTATGTTGAGTCAGAGTTACATATTTTATCGAAAATCACTCGTCTGTCTCGTCGAGTCACAAGTCATTTGAGTTCTATTAATGCCTAATTGTTGATTGCGAATCCGAGTGATTTCATTTTGATAACTCGAGTCACTTCGGGTCTTTGATAAACGGTTACTCGAACCTCTCCATGTTCAGTTATTTTCCTAGGCCCACTCTAAAACAAATTCAAACACCCCTCTAATTTTAAGCCATACTTTAATTCTTAACGTATTGTATAAAAATGTATTAAGATATTCGGAAAGTGGCGTATATGCCGGTGAATATGATCATCAAACACATAACACATTTTCATAAGTTACAAAATATTTTTATCACTAATAACGAAATATCTACCACCCCCTAAATTTGAAAAAAACATGAAATAAAAAACTGGGGAACATACTAACTCCAACATTGCTAAGTGGCACTATTTGTCAAAACCAAAAAAGATAGTGAAATATTGCTGCTCTGCATTGAAGATTAAATTATTGAAATAAAGAGACCGATAGTGTTTTTGACAGCTTCGCTTTGTCTAAATCTAGGAAATAGGTATTAAAGTGCTTGAGTAAATGCTCCGAGTAAATATTTGATATTTTGGTATTCCAGTAGCATGTGTACCAGGTTAGGGTTAGACCATAATTTTATTTCGATTTTCCGTATTTTAGTTCTATTACTAGTTCGGGGACTGTCTGTGTTAGCCAAGTGAATTTAACCCTGCCCATAGGTTTCAGTCCCTTTAGAAACCTTGATGTAAAGTAGGCGAACAAAATTAGTTACCTCTACATTGGTAGACACACTTCTGGAGTGCCGTTATTTAATTATGTTTGTTTATTGTGCAATACATGAAATAAAATAAATACCGCCCTCTCATTTTATATATGAACATATCGAGCCGTATGAATAACCTTGTTTCTATAGATAATTGATATTAAATTTTATTTCGATTATCCTCATTTTAGTTCCATTACTAATTTGGGGACTGTCTGTGTTAGCCAAGTAAATATTCCCACTGCCCATAAGTTGCAGTCCTTTTAGAAAATTTGATGTAAAGTAGGCCAACAAAATTATTTACCACCATATTGGTACATACACTTCTGGATCGCCGGACATAGTGTCTACTAAAATCACTCGTTCAAGTTTAGTTTACTATAATAAAGTTTCACTTCCAAAACTTCCTCAAATACAATTACACAATTATGAGATTTTAAAATTGTTTTCATCATAGCTCTCATACTTCCATATATAGGAAGAAAGAGATATTTAAGCCCTTAT